TTTTAGTCCTATTTGAAGTAATTTATATTCATTCTATAAAAAATGTGAGGGGGGGGGCTAGTAGGGAAACTAACTGGTCCGCCCCAATTTATACAATTAACATAGCCAACAACGATCATTCATATCCACAAACTAAATTTATTTAAAATTTAAATTATAACATTACATAATAACTCAAATGATATCCGGCCGTAGTTTGTGGGTCTATGTGATTTTTTTTGTTTAAAACACGGCATATATATGGGGTAGGTGTGCTTTGGATCTTTTTCATACTCATTTTGAACATGGTTGAAAGATCATTGGATAAGTATCTAAAGCCTTTTCAACATGTTCACATATAAATATGAGAAGAAAAAAAATCCGATTGAACTCTTTCTCAACTCCAAATAATATGTAGCCACACATAGAAGTTAGGAAATATCATTCATTATTATGATGAAACATAATAATATCAAACAGTACTCGTGTACATAAGAAAGTGCCGTCCACAAAACATCTTCTTCTGGCTGGGAAATGTACCATTCAACTATATCCATTGCCATAAGATATGAATAAAATTGTGGAAGGTCGCATCCTGATATCTCAACATCGATTACCCTGGCTTCATCATCTGTTTTCACCTTTCTCTTCTCAGATCGTCGTCATGGTGTCTTCATATGATTTGTATTCCTTGAAGTTAGCTAGCTTTCATATGAAACTTGAAAGTTGTACTTTGGATGTTTCTACAAAAAGATATGCTTGAACGAATGACAGGACGACATCCTGATCGTCGTTTCAAGCTTTATTCGTCTTCGTTTGATCTCGTAGCCAATCCTAGAGCTCTTTTGTCTTCAACACTTCGTCTTTAACACCTCATTGACCTTCAATGCTCCTAATCAACTCTCAAATGCGTCTCAACTCTCTCGATTACTTCTCAAATGCCGGTGTCGGACTTAATTCCCTGATTTTGACTCCAAAAATATCAAACACGAACCAATGCCCGATAAAATATGATTTGAGCTAAAAATGAGACTTATGACACCTTTATGCTAGGATCTCAACACGCATCAATGCGTGTCGAAATACGGACTTATCACTGGTCTCCAAAGAAAAAGAATGCGGGAATGAGGAAATAAAGAAATTAAAGAGAAAAAAAAGATAAGCAAAAACAAGCGGACCGAAAAGAGGGAAAGAAAGAAAGAAAGAAAGAAGAAAGAAAGAAAGAAAGAAAGAAAGAAAGAAAGAAAGAAAGAAAGAAAGCAAGAAAGAAAGAAAGAAAGAAGGAAAGAAAGAAAGAAAGAAAGAAAGAATGAAAGAAAGAAAGAAAGAAAGAGATAAGTAAGTAAGTAAGTAAGTTAGTAAGTAAGAAAAAGATAAATAAAAAGAAGTGGATGAAAAAAGGTGACGTGGGCCGTCACGTGTACACTATATCAATAACTCAGTACAAGCGTGCACCCTTTCAGTCGGATCGGTGGCGAATAATTACCTACTAAAAATCATGGAATCCTGCCTAGTCGAGTACGGATTCATCCTAAAAAAAACTATGAGCGGCTATTTATACAATTATTATAACCAACAATGATCATTCATACCCGCAAACTAAATTTATTTAAATTTAAATTTTAACATCACACAATAACACAAATGATGTCCGGCCTGGGTTGTGATCGATCGAGTCTATGTTGATTTTTTTTCTTTAAAACACGTCATATTATATGAGGGAGGTAGTTGTGCTTTGATGCTTTTTCATGTTCATTTTGAACATGGTTGAAAGATCATTGGATAAGTATTTAAAGCCTTGTCAACATGTTTACATATAAATATCATCCAAAAAAAATCTGATTGAACCCCTTCCGAACTCCAAATAATACGTAGGCCACACATAGAAATTAGGAAATATTCATTCATTATTATGATGAAACATAATAATATCTAAACAGTACTCGTGTGCCTAAGAAAATACCGTCCACAAATCATCTTCTTCTTGGCTGGAAAGTGTACCATTCAACTATCCATTGCCATATAAGTTAGTTCATGGCATGGGTTTGCTCACTTCATGGTGGCCGTACTTCAAAATATGATGTTATTTTTATTTCTTTTTGAAATCAGATACGCATGCCCACTCCAGTTACAAATTGTTTGGTATAAGTTAATGAGGCTGTGTTAAGTCTAAATGCTTTTATGAACAAGACAGATATGTGCTAAAAAGATTAACAATACTTTTATATGCAAAGACAATGTGGTGGTAATTCAATTATACATCCATTTAGTTTAGAAATAAAAGAAGTAGAAATTTATTGTCCTAATAAAACATTTGATTGCTCCATATTTAGTAACAATCAAGAATTAAGTACAAATCTCATTAATAATTGTAATCTATAAATAAAATAATCCGAAGAATAAGAATAATTAAAGGCAATAAATATAAACAAAATATTTACAAAAACATTAGTAACATAAAAACACAGAACTAATTGAGACATAGCAAAATACAGTTATAAAAAACGAAATATTTACCCCTACCCTTCGGGCCTGTTTACTAACAGAAATATTTTCCAGTTTTCCAGAAAACTGGAAAACTGGAAAATAGAAAACAGGAAACGTGTTTACCAAAGAAATTCCTGGAAAACTGGAGAATTGAAAATAGAAAAACGTGTTTACCAAATCGTTTTCCAAAACGGAAAAAATGAAACATGTGTCTCTTTTCCTTAATGATTTGGAGAAGTGACTTTTACTAGTTTTTCAAATTTGGAAAACGTAGATGCTACAGTGCTTTTGCAATGAATTTGCATACTTACACCTAGTGGTGGGTCCGATCCCGCTCCGATGTCGATTCTATTCCGGTACCTCCATTCTCGTACCTTACCCCTTACCCCTACCCTACCCTACCCACCCAACCCCCACCCCGCGTACCCATTTTTCCCTATAATGACCTTACCCCACCCCCCACCACATGCCCCCGACCTCGGCCCCAGCCCGATCCACCCTACCCTACCGCCACCCCCCTACCACCTCGACCCCATCTCGATCCACCCTACCCTACTGCCACCCCCCACCACCCCGACCCACCCTACCCTACCCCCACCCCTCGTATATTACCACTTACCCCTACCTTACCCCTTACCACATGCCTCCTACCTCGGCCCCACCCGGATCCCGGGCCCACCCTACCGCCATCCTATCCCAACTCCCTACCCCTACCTTACCCCAACCCCAAACCTTACCCACTACCCCCACCCTTACCGCCATCCTACCCCCACCCCTTCCCTACCCCGGCACCACCCTGGTCCCGACCCCACCCTACCGCCATCCTATCCCAACTCCCTACCCTACCCCTGCCTTACTCCAACCCCAAACCCTACCCACTACCCCCCACCCTACCCCTTCCCTACCCCGGCCCCACTCTGGTCCCGACCCCACCCTACCGCCATCCTATCCCAACTCCCTACCCCTACCTTACCCCAACCCTACCCACTACCCCACTCTTAACCCTAACCACAACCCTAACCCACCCACTACCCTCACCCAACCCCCTACCCCTAGACCTTACCACCCCACCCTGACCATACCCCTTACCCCACCCCCACCCATAACTTCCCTACCCCGACCCCTACGAGTAGGTATGGGTGGGTATGAAGGGTTGTGGTGGAGTATGGGTAGCGTGTAAGATCGTGGTAAGAGTAGAGGTAGGGGTCAAGGGTGTGGAATTGGAGAACTGTGTGAAAAAATTGATGAACATGTTTTCAAATTTGAAAATGGAAAACTAAAAAATAGAAACAGAAAATTGGAGATAGAAAAACTGAAAAATAAAACAGAAAATTGGAGAACGAAAAACAGAAGTAGAAAACAGGAAAATATCTTTGTTAGTAAACAGGCCCGAAGTGTTTTAATTTAAAATATATAAAATGTGGGATAATGTATTATTGATTGTTATATTGAAGCGAGATGAATCCAGCTACTATTACAAATTATATAGAGTACAATTACAATAATTAATAATAATTATTGATCATCATCTGCCAAAGAATAAAATTGATCATAACTACGTCACATAAATGAACAATCTTTCGTACTAAATCTAGTTCAACAATCATAGATTTGAATTCAGTTGAAGCAGACATCAATGGTGATAAACAACATTTACAACAATACATTTTAAAAGCATTCAAAAAAATCATTTTTAAAAACGAAGATATTGGAAATATTTCTTCTCTTATAACATTTTTTGGGCAAAACTTTAATAGGATTATTGTTCAGGAATACTTTTTGAACTGCAATTATTATGTTATTTAAAAATTCTCTACAAGTCCTTAATTGTATGTTTGGCACTATGGTTTTTATGCGCTGTTTTAGAAATGAAGCTTTTTCTTAAACATTACCGAAATATAACTAGTGCGAGTATGATTTTTTTTATAATTTCTTTCAATCTGTGAATATAAAACCAATATGTCCACCCCTATATTTTATAACTATAGAAGTTTGGGTTGGTTTACTCAAATCTGGTCTGGTCTAACCTAGTCTAAGACTAAAAACAATTCGAGTAAAACATTCTAATAATCATTTGGGCATTTATACGTTCACAATTAGGTATAGAAATTTACCCATTGAATTTCATGAATATCTATTGAATTATTAATACTCTTGTACTTCATATAAATCAACTAGAAAATCATTTTTTTTCGAATGCTTTTAATTGGATATATGTCCAAGATTAAAACAAAATTAAGTAATTGACTAAATCACACGAGATCAAACTAGATCAGATTAGGCGAGATCAAATCAGACATCAATAGTTGTACTATACACATAAAATCGTTATCTATCATATGAGACTTTACTCAACCAAATTAGATTAGACCATACATTTCGATTCAATTGAAACGTGGGAAGGAAATTTCAATCCAATTCACGGCAGGTTCCCACTTCCCACACATTTCCGCCTAATGCAAAAAAACAAGAAGCTTATTCATATGCGCCCATAAATAAACAGCTCCTCTTTCATTTGCTTTTCAAATAAACATCAAATCCATTCATCTTTAGAACAAATCTAGAGATTTATCGCACAGGTAGCGTTCGATATATCCAACACTGAAACATATACTCCATATATTTTACAGCATTATAGTAACGTCTAAGTTTCCAAAATTAACCAGCTACAAAAATGGATAGATTGGCCAAATGTGTAGCAAATTATGTTCCCCTTACTCCTATCACTCTCTTGAGAAGGGCATCCAAGTGTTATGCCGACCACAACTCCGTCATCTATGCTGGCATCCACTTCACGTGGAGCTAGACCTATGACCGATGTCGCCGCCTCGCCGCCTCCCTACGGGCTCTCAACATTGTCAAGAACAATGTCGTAAGTACTAAATTTTAATTTTATAAATATTATGTATAGGCAAATATGCTATAATGAAATTATTTTCGTTCTAAATTACTTGCCTCATTAAATTTTCATATATATGCTCTAGTAATTAATATAATGTCATTGATCGAAAAACTAAACTAATCTCGTCTTTGATCCGATATGCACAGATTTCGGTGTTGGCCCCAAATGTTCTGGCAATGTACAAGATGCATTTTGCGGTGCCAATGGCGGGGGCAGTGTTGAACACCGTCAACACGAGGCTGACGCGAAGAACATTGCCACCATTCTAAAGCATTCAGAGGCCAAGGCCTTCTTTGTGGACTATGAGTATGTGGAGAAGGCGAAAAAGGCATTGGAAATAATGATGGGCAAAAATATACCAATGCCCTTACTGGTTGACATCGACGACGACGTCGCCCCCACTGGAATCCGGCTAGGCAACCTCGAGTACGAGGAGTTAATACTCTGAGCGCGGATTAATCATGGCACGGAAAAGGATGAGAGCGATGTGGCTATCGATGACGAGTGGGACGCGATCGCCTTGAGTTATACATCAGAGACGACTTCTCAGCCGAAGGGAGTTGTGTACAGTCACCGGGGAGCCTTTCTGAGCACGTTGAGCTTGATCTTGGCTTGGGAAATGGGGACCCAACCCGTTTATCTATGGTCACTCCCAATGTTCCACTGGAACGGCTGGACCTTCACTTGGGGGGGGGTCACCGCATGTGTCGGGACCACCGTCAGTGACATATACGACAACATTGTGTCACACGGAGTGACACATATGTGTTGCGCGCCAATCATTTTATCGATTCTCTTGGAAGCCAAGCCGCACGAGCGCCGGGAAATGTCGGCTCCGGTCCAAATACTCACTGGAGGGGCGTCGTCGCTTCCTCCTCTGCTCAAGATAATCAAGGGGTTAGGGTTTCGTGTTGCCCATGCCTATGGCCTCACCGAGACCACCGCACGGGCTATGTTTTGCGAGTGGCAAAAGAAATGGAATTGGTTGCCGGCGGAGGAGCAAGCCAGGTTGAAAGCAAGATAGGGGATCAACACACTGACACTCACCCACGTCAATGTTGTAAGGGACATCAAGACAATGCGGCGAGTTCCACGCGATGGCCGGACCATGGGAGAGATCGTCATCCGTGGCAACAGCATCATGAAGGGCTACTTCAAGAACGACGAGGCCAACTCCGACGCCTTCAGAAACAGATGGTTCATCACCGGAGACGTCGGCGTCATCCACCCCGATGGCTACCTCGAAATTGTGAAGTGTTTTAAACTTGTTTGTGTCACGTGTTTTGTTTTGTGTCATTTAATTCATCCTAGGCTCATTTGTTATTTTTATTTTAAGTTTAGTTATTACTTTGTACGTGTGCATGTGGGTAGAAGAAGTCAACCACCCATGCACACACGTAGGAGCATTTGTAGGGTTTTGTTGCGTGTGTAGTTATCCTTATACATGTGATCTATTTATGTGTGTATTGGAAGAGGGGGGTTTTTTAATCCGAAGGAACTAGATTTTTTCTCCTTGAATGAAAAGAAAGAAAGATTGAAAAAGAACTCTCTTTGGTCATTGTGTTATTTTTATACATACTATACTGCATATCATCATATAGCTTAATCTTAAGTGTGATCCACAGTGTGTTGTTCAGCTTCGTTGCTTAGATTTGGTATAAGAGCCATCATTCTTTTGGATCCAAGATGTCTCATGACACAAAAGATGATGCATCTAGTAGAGAGAAAGGAGACACCATCACTCTCAGGTATCCCATGTTAACCTCAACTAATTATGCTGCATGGGCCATAAAGATGGAGGTTTTTAGGGTGGCTCAAGGGGTATGGGGCGCTATGGTGAGTGAAGGTCCTGTAGAAGTGCGCAAGGATAAGATGGCTTTAGCAGCCATTTATCAGGGCATAAGTGAGGGCACTCTTCTTCAACTTGGGGCAAAGAGAACAGCCAAAGAAGCATGGAGTATGTTGAATACCATGAATCTTGGGGCTGAAAGCTAGAGTGAAAGAGGTTCGAACTCAATCTTTGTATAGAGAGTTTGAAGGCTCGAGGATGAACAATACTAAAAGTGTTAATGCATATTCTGCAAAACTGCAGATTATAGTCAAAAAATGAGAGGTTTGGGTAACACAGTGCAAGAAGAAAAGATAGTGAAGAAACTGCTTAGATCTGCTGCCCCTAAGTTCCTGCAAATTGCATCCACCATTGAGGAGTTTGGAGATCTGAAAACAAAGACTATGGAAGAAGTAATTGGGTCCCTTAAAGCTCATGAAGAAAGACTTAATGTGTGTGAAGCCCATGATGAGGATACTGTTCTTCTTACCCAAGCTGAATGGAGAGCAAGGGAAGAGGGGGAGTCTTCTCACAAGAAAACTATCAAAGACCAAGGAAGCTATACAGGAGGAAGGGGCAGAGGACGTGGAAGAGGTAGAGGAGGCAGTGTGCATCAAAAGAAGAAATTTGATAAGTCAAAAATAAAATGCTTCAACTGTGAGAAAATGGGACATTTTGCATCTGAGTGTCCCTCAGAAGACAAGGAGGAGCAAGCAAACATTCTAGAGGAGGAAGAAAGTGAAGAACCTGCACTATTGATGATTGAGTCATGTGAATTAACCAAATCACATGATCTCAATCAATGCTCAGAAACACAAGTCACTGGTGCTGGTAACAATAAAAAGGCGGGATGGTTCCTAGACTCGGGGGCTAGTAACCATATGACTAGAGAGAAAAGCTGGTTTTCTGAGATAGATCCTTCAGTTCAAGGGAAGGTTATGTTTGGAGATGGGTCCATGATTAGCATTCATGGTCAAGGTTCAGTTGTGTTTCAACGTGCTAATGGTGAACATTTAGTCCACTCAAAGGTATATTACATACCAAAGCTGAAGAGTAACATTCTTAGCATTGGTCAGTTTGATGAAAATGGAGGTCAAGTTGTGGTAAAGGGAGGAGAATTGAAGGTCTTTGATAGCAGTAATAGACTTTTTGTTGCAAACTTCAAGGCTGCAGAGAGAGTGTGCTTGTTGACAAGCATGATTGATAAGTCATGGCTTTGGCATGCTAGGTATGAACATCTCAACTTTCAGGCCTTGAAGAAACTTTCTAATCAGAATTTGGTAGAAGGAATGCCTAATATCACTCAAGTGAATCAAGTGTGTGATGGGTGTATGATAGGCAAGCAACACAAAACCTCATTTTCTCAGAAGGCAAACTTCAGAGCCAAAACAAAACTTGAGCTTATTCATGGAGATCTGTGTGGTCCTATCTCACCATCTGCACCAGGAGGAAGTAACTACTTTATGCTTCTAGTTGATGATTTCTCACGCTTCATGTGGGTATCTCTACTGAAGCATAAAGGAGAAGCTTTAGATGGATTCAAAAGGTTTAAGCAACTTGCAGAAAATGAAGTTGCAGAGAAATTGAAGTGCTTCAGAACTAACAGAGGTGGTGAGTTCATTTCTATTGATTTCAAGAATTTCTATAGTGAAAATGGCATAAAAAGGCACCTCACAGCCCCATATTCACCCCAGCAAAATGGGGTGGTTGAAAGGAGAAACCAAACCATTATTGAAATGGTTAGAAGTCTTCTGAAAAGTAAGAACATGCCAGCAAAATACTGGGGAGAAGCAGTGAAAATCTCAGTGTATTTACTGAATAGAGCTCCAACCAAGAGTGTAGAAGGAATGACACCATATCAAGTGTGGTATGGGAAAAAACCAAGTGTACAACATCTAAGAGTGTTTGGGTGCATTGCTCATGCAAAGATTACAACTCCTCATCTTCCAAAACTTGCAGATAGGAGTGTGAAGACAATTATTCTTGGGTATGAAGAAGGGACTAAGGCCTATAAGCTGTTAGAACCAAAAGGAGGAAAGGTCATAGTTAGCAAAGATGTGGTGTTTGAGGAAGATAGAGAGTGGTCCTGGCAAAACAAAAATGAAAGAAGCAGTTCATGTGATGAAAATACTCTCACACTGAGAGTAAATGAAGAAGGAAATCTGGGGGGGAACTGACTACTCAACCAGTTCCTCATAGGAAGAAGGAAGTACATCACCATCTCAATCATCTCAAGAATCTACGTCAAATACATCAGGATCATCTGAGAGCAGTAACTCAAGTACCAGTCCTATAAACTACAGGTCACTGCAGGACATTTATGATGCTACAGTGGAAGTAAATGAGGAGGTAAGTCTTTGCTTTTTATCAATTGAGGAACCTTCATGCTATTCTGAAGCTGCAGGAAATCAGAACTGGAGGGAAGCTATGAACATAGAAATTGATTCTATACATAAAAATGGAACCTGGGAATTAGCAAACTTACCCAAAGATCACAAAGCCATAGGTCTAAAGTGGATTTTCAAGCTAAAGAAAGATCCTGAAGGGAAGATTATCAAACACAAGGCCAGGCTTGTTGCAAAGGGCTACATTCAGAAGTATGGGGTGGATTACCTAGAAGTGTTTGCTCTAGTGGCAAGGATGGTGACAGTCAGAGTATTGCTTGCAATCTCAGCACTTAAACAGTGGGATGTACATCACATGGATGTAAAAACTGCCTTCCTAAATGGGAAATTGAAAGAGAAAGTTTATGTGAGCCAACTAGAAGGTTTTGTGGACCCTAACTACCAAAACAAGGTGTTGAGACTCCATAAGGCCTTGTATGGGTTTAAAAAAAGCTCCTAGAGCTTGGAATGAGAGATTGGATTGTTGCTTGAAGTCTTTGGGCTTTAATAGATGTGTCTCTGAACACTCAGTGTACATGAGGAGGACTGATGAACATATGATAATAGTAGGAGTGTATGTGGATGACCTAATACTTACAAGCTCATGCTAAAAACTGATTCAAGATTTCAAAAGTGAACTAATGAAGAATTTTGAGATGAGTGATCTGGGATTGCTTTGTTACTATCTTGGCATTGAAGTAAAGCAAGAGAAGGACTCCATAACCTTCAGGCAAACTGGATATGCAAAGAAAATTTTAGAGAAAATGGGGATGGCTGAGTGTAACCCCTGCAGTTTACCCATGGAGCCTAGAAGCAAGCTTAGCAAGCTTGATGGAGAACAAGACATAGATCTTACAAGCTATAGGAGCACCATTGGGAGTCTGAGGTATTTAACACACACCTGACCTGATCTCACTTACTCAGTTGGTATTGTAAGCAGGTATATAGAAGCACCAACTATTGCACATCTAAATGCTGTAAAACAGATTCTGAGGTACATCAAATAGACAATAGAGTATGGATGCTTGTACAAGCGTAATCAAACAAATGTAGCTTTGTTGGGTTATAGTGATAGTGATCTTGTTGTGAATGTGGATGACAGGAAGAGCACCTCTGGGATCATCTATTTCCTAGGTTACAATCCAGTCACATGGATATCACAGAAACAAAGAATTATTGCATTATCTTCTTGTGAGGCTGAATACATAACAACAACTAGTGGGGCCTGTCAGGGAATTTGGCTCACAAAACTGTTGGAGAGCATACTTGAGGATAACAAGAAGAAGCCAGTATTGCAAGTTGACAACAAATCAGCAATTGCCCTTGCCAAAAACCCGGTTCATCATGAGAGAAGTACGCATATAGATACTAGATATCATTTCATCAGGGAATGTGTTGAAAAGGAGGTGATTAGCTTGGAATACATTCAGACAAGGGAACGGCTAGCGGACATCCTTACAGAGCCACTTGGAAGAGACAGATTTGCAGACTTGAGAAGGAAGATTGGAGTTCAACACCTAGGAGAGTAGAACAAGTTTAAGGGGGAGAATGTGAAGTGTTTTAAACTTGTTTGTGTCACGTGTTTTGTTTTGTGTCATTTAATTCATCCTAGGCTCATTTGTTATTTTTATTTTAAGTTTAGTTATTACTTTGTACGTGTGCATGAGGGTAGAAGAAGTCAACCACCCATGCACACACATAGGAGCATTTGTAGGGTTTTGTTGTGTGGGTAATTATCCTTATACGTGTGAGTATCTATTTATGTGTGTATTGGAAGAGGGGTTTTTTTTTAATCCGAATGAACTGGATTTTTTCCCCTTGAATGAAAAGAAAGAAAGATTGAGAAAGAATTCCCTTTGGTCATTGTTATTTCTATACATACTATACTGCATATCATCATATAGCTTAATCTTAAGTGTGATCCACAGTGTGTTGTTCAGCTTCGTTGCCTACAGAAATCACGGACCGGCCGAAAGACGTCATCATCTCCGGCGGAGAAAACATAAGCAGCGTCGAAGTGGGAAGCGTGATCTTGAATCACTCCGGCGTTTCGGATGTGTCTGTTGTCGCTAAGCCGCACCCTCGGTGGGGAAAGAGCCCCTGCGCTTTCGTAGTCCTGAAATTCACTGGAAATTGGACAGAAGCCGACCTCATCGCACACTGTCGGGAAAATCTACCGGGTTACATGGTGCCGAAGAAGGTCTAGTTTGTGACGGAGTTGCCCAGAACAGCCACCGGAAAAGTTCCAAAGCACCTCCTAAGAGTTATGGCTAAGA